ACAAATGAAAGCAAACAGTATTTTTCAGAGCGTGAAACTTCTGTTAATATAGAATGTATAGAGTTGCTGTTTGGACAGATATTATTTTTTTGGCTGATCCTCCAGAATCAAGTATCAAAACAAAGCTCTCTGACCAGCGCAACGGACCCATTGACTCAAAAGAATTGGTACTTCTATTTATCGAAAAATGTCAAATGAGAAGCGTTATTCAGGAGGAGCATTGAATACCATAAGTCCCAATTAGATCGGCTGATTTCACAAAAAATCCACACTCGCCATGATTTTGACAGGGAGTCAAAATCTTTGTCTTTACTTTATTCAGCTATACCTAGGAGGGTTAAAAGGTAGTCTTGATTTTAAGACCAAGCTAAAAGAATTCTAAATAAAAAATGTCCTCAGATAGATGAAAACTTCATTTTCATGAGATATTAAAAGGAGACCTTGGGGCAATATGTCAACCATTATGATCGTCAATATTAGAGGTGTCGTCAGCTAAGTTGACAGTTGTTTACTTTCGGTTTGCAGGCGTTTTCGCGTCACTACTATCCACATGAAAACATCTGGCTCTTTCAGAAGCAAGAGCACAAGCTTGGATAAGTTTTTTTAATACTTTCAAACCTTGTAACACTTTAATTTTTAGCCACACAGAAATCAAAACCACAAAAAAGTTGCAAATCATAACTGATAAGTGGTTTTTTTTACGATACGATCATGAGACTGATGTTTTCAATGTGGATAGTAGCGAACGCCGCTTCGTTCAGAGGCCCAAATTCGTCGTTGGCGCTTGCAAACCAAAAGTAAACAACCGTCAACTTAGCTGACGACACCTCTAATAACTCAAGAATTCTAGAATGGATTTATTATTCAGTCAATGAATTTTGGTCAAATCATGGGCAAGGAAAAACATGAGCTTTTCGACTGGAAAAATAAAAACGAGGATACGTTAGGACTTCTAAATCCAAAAATTAAAAAAGAGGAGAGGCTGAGGCAAAAAAGAAGACAGAAACAGGACACTTTGAATACAAACAAAAGGGGACATTTGTAAGTAAAATGGACAATTTCTTTTTAAAAAAGGACATCTTTACATCACCTATGATGTTAGCGTCAAGTTTACGTACTTTTCTCCCTTTTTTTCTCTTTCAAATGTAGATGTACCATCCACACGGAAATTTAAAAGTATAGCCAAAGATATATCTTTTTGATCCACCGTTTAGAAACAGAAATGACTCTGAAGGTACGCTGCTTTTCTCCTTGGTGACATCTAGACTGTCATCAGTTACCTTTCCATACATCAAAAGTGAATTTGAGAGGTAAGGTATTCTTGAAATTTTGGAGGATGTTAAACACTCAATTTTTAATTCTTAGTCTTGAAATACTTTACTCTGGAAATCTGTAAATCGATCTGGGAAAACTTAAGTGATTTTGACACGCCAAGGAGCATGCAATACCTATTCAGTTTCCACGCCTTAATTTTTGAAGGGAAGACCAAATGGCATTAGTTCCATCTCATTTTCTAATATACTTAGAACAAACGATATTGAATGTTACCAAGAATTCACAGAAAAATAGAGGCGAAAGCAACTGTAGCGCTACAATGGCGAAATAGTTTGGCAGCTAGAAAGTGAATCTGAACCTGCGAAGGGCAAATAATTGTAAAAAAAAGAGCCTTGAAAAATCTAAGAAGACATGTCAGAGAAAACAAGGAGGGATGCCAACCCAACATAAGTACCTAAATTATGACTTAAAAACTAAAATTAACAGCCTTGTAAGTCACATTTTAGCACTGTTGTTGACAGCAATTGAATTTTCTGCCGTTGGCTCATACTCAACATGTCATCAGAATCGACCGATCAGGGTCTTACACATCTTATTTGCTCATTGTCTCATTTAGTGTGTAGGGAATCTCGCCTTCTTCTCTGTGTGCTCGACTAACATGTAACTACCCAAGTAGCATGGATTGCAATTTCATTGCAATGGATTGTGAGTTGATTGCAATTTTTGCTTGTTGCCTATACGTTCATTTGAAGGCGCTTAAAAAGTTGCAATTTTATTGCAATAAGTTTGCAAGAAATGTAGATTATGCTTGTTGCCTAACCTTCTTTTTCAAGGCACTATAAAGACTGCAATTTCGGTGCAATCATGTTGTAACAAATTCACGCCATGTGCCTGGCATCCAATTCTCTAGTTGTTTTAAAGTTTTTTCGACTTAAATGTCTCACCTAACCCATATAGCCCAATATATTTTGAAAATATTGTCACTTTTATCAAAATATTTTCATGGCAATATTGTAATTAAGATATTTTCAAAATATTTTTAAAACATTTTAAAGGAATATTTTGAAAATGTTTACAAAAAATATTTTTAAAATAATTCAAAAATATTGCCTGTAAACATGCATGTTAAAAATATTCCTTAAGAAAGTTTTGAAAATATTTTAAAAATATTTTTTGAAAATATTTTTAAGTTCTCAAGTTAGTATGTGGTGTAATTTACACCGGTGTAAATTTAGTGTGAGTACCTATTCGTGATATCGAAAAAAAAATCAGACAAAAAAAATATGAAAAAAATAAATAACACGAAAAAAAATAAATAATAGGCAAAAGAAAGAAGCCTGAGAAAAACGGCGTTAATCAAATCTATGATGAATGTTGAGCCACGCACTGACGCAATGCATGCGATAACAGCCTTAACAGGCGTGATTTCAACTCAGCTCATCATCAGCTCCCTGAAGCTCAGTGGAAGAGTGCTCCGCTTAGACATTCGCGGGTCGGGTTCAAGCCCACTCAAGAGCGTCCGGTATTTTATGCTGCTAAACGTCGTAGGACATTAGGTAAGCATGGGTTCGAATTATTATAATTTCCCCGGAAAATTTAGGGGTTGAAATTTAAAGGTCGTCAATATTGAAATTTCTTTGCAAAAAAAAAAATTGCAACTTTTTTACAATGAGGGGGTCAGATGTTGTAAAATAATTGCAATTTTCTTGCAAGAAAATTGAAATCATCTGGAAATTTTATTTCATTTAAATTGCAATTTTTTCGTTGCAAAATGCTACTTGGGTATGTGCTCCCTGTTTTTCTACCGAATAAAAAGGTCTTCTCGTTATTAAAGAAATGTTATTCCTTTAATCCTTTACGCTCTGCATCAGGTTATGGGCCTTACGTAGTGAGTTGGTCGAAATTTGTTCCGGTTTTGCGTTTTGGTTTGAGTTTTGTGTCGGTTGTAGCGTGGTGCTGAATCTATTATCACAATGGAGATGCATGTACACGGCTACCTGAAATTCAACGGCAAAAATTGGAATGTCTGGAAATTTCAGGTCAAGGTTGTTCTGATGGCGAAAGGTCTCTACGCTCTCACGGTAGGAGAGGAAGAAGTTCCTGCTGAAGAAAAGAAACTGGCTGAGTACAAGTTGAGGGATGCCAAGGCTCAGGAGGTGTTGGTCACAAGAATGGAAGATGAACCGCTCTCACACATCATGACCTGTAACTCGGCGAAGCAAATGTGGGACAAAATGCAAACTATCTATGAGCAGAAGTCAAATGTAAGTGTCCACCTACTTCAACAACAGTTCTTTAATTTGAAGTTTGAAGACTCTGTCTCCAATTTTGTGACTAAAATTCAGAATCCGTCCACTACGTTAAAGCAATAAGGCGAAGAAATCTCTGATAAAATGATTATGACTAAAATCCTTATGAGCCTACCTACCAAATACCGTTATTTTGTATCTGCTTGGGAATCAGTTCCGTCTGGGGAACAAACGCTAGCTAGTTTAACATCCAGACTATTGATTGAAGAACAGCGTTCAAATGACAGTGAAGAAGAAAACCCCGGTTGCTCTTGCTGCGAGGAACATTAGTCGTATTCAATGTCATGCCTGTAAGAAATTTGGTCACAGAAAAAGTAAATGTTTCAATGTTCGAAGCAGTCAAAATAAACATCTGACAGGGTTAGTGTGTAATTTCTGTAATAGGCCTGGTCATAAAGCGAGATTTTGCTGGAACCGTCGTCGAAGTAAAGGTAAAGCCTCAAACAACGATAATAAAACATCAAGCAGTCAAAACGGCAATGTAGCATTTTTTGGCGCTCACAGGAAGCATAAATCATCTGATTAGATTTTAGATAGCGGTGCATCACAGCACATGTGCAATGATAAGCATTTTTTTCACGAACTTAAATGCCTCCAAGTTCCATGTAATATAACGATTGGTGATAGTTCATGTTTCAGTGCGAAAGGTCAAGTGAATGTATCTGTGAAGTCGTTTGTTGGTGAAAATTGCCGAGAAGTTAAAATTAACGACGTTTTGTTTGTTTCTGACCTAGCAATTAATCTGTTCTCACTGGGTAAAGCACTTGATGCTGGATTTTTTTTGCTGTCTGTTGCGAATGAAGCCAAATTTGTGCATCAAAAGTCAAATGAAGTCTATGCAACAGCAATTCGTGAAGTTGTACAAAGTTGTACAAAATGCATTTTCAAGATCTCAGCAAAAGTATTGAGAGTAGTTACCTCAGTGTATACCCTGATAGACATCCGTCGCTTGCTTGGTGCCATGAATGTCTTGCACATCAAAACATAACTCAAGTTAAAAAGATTTGAATGACAAACAGCGTGAACTGTAAAGCATCTTCTAAACCTCTTTTTTGTGAGGGCTGAGCCATGGGAAAGCATCATCGTGCTCCGTTTAAAGAGAGTGCTTCGAGCGCCACAGAAGTATGCAGCATTATTCATACAGATCTATGCGGGCCAATTGAGACCAAGTCAATTGGTGGTGCCTCGTACATGCTACTCTTCAAAGATGACTACTCTCCCTTTTGCATAGTTTACTTTCTAAAGAGTAAAACTGAAATCAGTGAATATTTCAGTAAATTCTTATCCCTAAGTGAAAATCAAACGGGTAAAAAAGTGAAACTTCTCCGCTCTGACAACGGCACAGAATTCGTCAACAGTGAAATGAGGAAAATCATGGAACGCAGGGGTATTGAAGCTCAAACAACCGTCCCCTACCGTCCGGAACAAAACGGTGAGCTGAAAGGCAACTCAGAACGATCATGGAAGCAACTCGCTCCATGTTGTCTGCGAAGAACGTGGACAAACGTCTTTGGGCAGAAGCAGCTAGTGCAGCAACATATATACTCAACCGCACTGGAACAAGTAGTGTCGATGGCAAGACACCGTATCAGCTGTGGAGAGGCAAAAACTTCGATGTCAAAAATCTCCTGGCTCCGTTTGGCTCTAAAGTCTGGGTGCACACTCCTAAAGAAAAGAAAAGAAAAGAAAATTTGACGCCAGAAGCAAACCTGGAATCTATGTTGCTTATGACGAAAATACAAAGGGTTTCAGAGTATATTTCCCGGACAAAAATGTTGTGACTTTGGAAAGAAACCTCATCATAGCACCGGACAAAGAATTACGGGAAATCAAACCAGTGAATCCGTTTCAAGTTTGCATCAGTGATGAGAAAAGTGAAACAAATCAAAGTGATAGTGCTAATAACATAAATCGGGTCAAAAATGTCTCAAATGAAAATCAAATTGATAGTGATATTAACATAAATCGGGTCGAAAATGTTTTAAATGAAAATCAAATTGATAGTAATATTAACATTAGTCGAGTCGAAAATGTCTTAAATGAAAACCAAATTGATAGTAATATTAACATAAATCGAGTCGAAAACGTTTTAGATGATTTCCTATTCGAAGGTATTTTAAATAAAATTCATGCAGATGATGCTACAATTAATGATTCAAATAACAGTGTCGTTAGTAGTGACGAAAACCGTGACTCGGATAGTAATATTAATCGGTTTGATGACGTAACTGAAGAATCGAATTCAAGCTTCGAAACCTGTGATAGTGTGTTGCCGGCTGTGCAACCAGACCATCAACTTCGTGAGCGAAACACGTTGAAACCGCCAATTCGTTTTGATGATTATGAGACCGGTCTCATCGGTATCCCAGACCCCGAAGAGCCAGTAAATCTCAAGGATGCACTCAATTCCAAATATGCCGAACAATGGAAACAAGCGATCAACAAGGAGCTGGAATCTTCAGCTGAAAACGAAACTTGGGAAATTGTGGACCTACCTGAAAACTGTCCAGTGATAGACAGCAAGTGGGTCTTTTGAATCAATAGAGGAAAGCATGGACAAATCAAACAAATGCAAGCACGTCTTGTTGCACGAGGCTTTCTACAAAGAGGGTATATAAATGACTGTGATATTTATTCTCCTGTAGCAAAATTAGATACTTTTAGAATATTATTAGCTGTTGGTGTTCAAAAAGGCTGGGAGATAAGCCAATCAGATGTCTGCAGCGCTTTCCTACATGGAGAAATTGAAGAGGATATCTATCTTTCATTGCCTAAAAATTGTAAAATTCCTCAAGGAAAAATTTGCAAATTAAAGAAATCTTTTTATGGCTTAAAAGGGGCACCTCGATGCTGGTATGAAAAATGTCATAAATTCATTATATCAAAAGGTTTCACGAGATCTCAGTACGATCAATGTTTGTATTTTAAAATTGTAAATAACAAAAGAATGTATGTTCTCATTTTTGTCGATGACATAATAACAACTGGTTCCTGTCCTAGAGAAATCGAGTCTATTAAGAATGACTTAAAAAGTACCTTTAAAATGAAGGATCTAGGTATCCTAAACAGCTAACTTGGAATTGAAATTACGCATGATGTTTCAAAGGGAATTTTGACTTTAAGTCAAAAGAATTATCTTCTTAATGTATTAAAATGCTTTAACATGACTGACTGTAAACCTGTGCACACACCTATGGATCAAAATTTTGATCATTATTCTCTATTAAGACCTAAATCTGAAAGTCCTGAATTGGAAAATACATGTCGAAAAATTATTGGCTGTGTTATGTATGCTATACTTGGCAGTCGCCCTGATATGTGTGCTTCTATCAGCATCTTAAGTAGATACCAAAGCTGCGCTAGTACAGAACTTCTTACTTGTTTAAAGCGTGTTTTACGCTACATTAAAGGAACCTTAGATCTCAAACTAGTTTATAAAAGAAATGATTGTAATCAAATAAATGTCAAAGGCTTTACAGATGCTGACTGGGCCGGCGACAACACAGACCGAAAATCAACCTCAGGTTTCTGCTTCAAAATTTTTAACTGCACCGTCTCATGGGCATCAAAGAAACAAAATTGTGTCAGTCTTTCAGCAACAGAAGCTGAATATGTGTCACTGAGTCAAAGCACATGTGAAGCCTGCTGGCTTAAAAATCTTTTAAACGAAATAGGTGTATGTGAGGAAGAAAAGCCTGTAGTTATATACGAAGATAACCAGTCATCGATTAAGATTAGCTCATCAATGGAACAACCCAGAAGGCTAAAACACAAAGATGTGAAACATCATTTCTTCAAGGAAAAAGTTAAAAACAAAACCATTGAAATTAAATATATTCCCACTCATGAAACAAATAGCTGACATTCTCACTAAACCACTAAATAAATGTGCCTTTGAGCACTTACGAAATTTGATCCTAACTTGACCGATCAGGCACACTTTTTTTGTTTCTTTGCCGAATACTTATTTCTAAATATGTAACTTCTAAATTGTTAGACACAGACTTTGTCAAATTTTCTAAAGTCGTAAACTTTTTAAAATCCATCGATTGAAAGGGGTGCTAGGAGCAATTGACGAATTTTAAAAAGTGTTTAAGTATGAACTCCATGTTATCAATTTTCTAGGAGCAATTGACGTATCTTAAAAAGTGTTTAAGTATGAACTCCATGTTATCAATTTTCTTAATGTGCATCAATTGAGAGGGGATGTTGACAGCAATTGAATTTACAGCCATTGGCTCATACTCAACATGTCATCAGAATCGACCAATCAGGGTCTTACACATCTTATTTGCTCATTGTCTCATACGGTGTGTATGGAATCTCGCCTTCTTCTCTGTGTGCTCGACTAACATGTAACTCCGTGCTCCCTGTTTTTCTACCGAATAAAAAGGTCTTCTCATTATTAAAGAAATGTTATTCCTTTAATCCATTACGCTCTGCATCAACTGTTCTCCTAGAGTAAGAACGAACCTCAGAAGCTGCTCCCTGCAATTGTTCAGAACTGCGAGAAGTTCCTCTTCATTCCTCTTAAAGTCTTCCTCTTTGGCCCAGAATTCAAGATCATGAGTCAAGCGGCGGAAATCAGCAATTAATCTCCGGCCATGAGCATTTAATTTCTCCAGGACTTCTGGTGGACCTTCACAATGATAAATATCCTGTAAATTAAGATTGAGTTTTTATGCATTCAGTCGACTGAGATGGAGAAGGTGATGTTAAAATAAATAATAGAGAATAAATTGGAAAAAAAGAAAAAAAAAAAAAACTCACTCCTTATGGGAATGTGTGCCTTGATGGATATTCAATTTTTTCATTGCATTTAACTCATCTATGGATGCTGATCTATGGTCATCATTGCTCGAACTTTGTGTGAGCCACCTGTTTCGCACAATCCGTGATTGAAATTTCTGTAATTTGCAAGAACGGCCGACCGTAATTAAGGGAAAATGCGGCACAAGTCTATCGGGTAAGGATGAGAGGGAGAGGGGAAGAAACTAATTTGGACAGTGAAGAGAAAAGGTAAGAAGAGTCCGAGATAAGACTGCCCCTTGACAGTAGAGAAAGCTGATCACAATGTACCGAATTGCGCTGTGACTCTTAATTGTCCTACTTCCTTTATTTCATTAAAGGGAATATCAAAAATTCAATTCCAGATTGTGCACCCAAAAACTTTGGCTAGTAGAAAGTTGGCGCAATGATGACTTTGGAACAGCCTCCGTGGGAGAGTTTAATAAAAAAATTGGAAATTAGAAAGGGCCCACATTCCCATGAGAAGTGTGCAGGATCCTTGGTGTTGAATATCACTTATTAGGAAGAGGGGGTACCCGTGTTCTATACAGGATTGGCATCAATGACCTATAATACAATCTAGACCGCGCTAGGCCCGAATTCAGGCGGGAGAGGTAAGACAGCAAGGGGGGTAAAGCAAGGTAAAGACATCCCTTCAACTTATTTCATGCAATCTGATATACATGTAGTGCCGACCGCGATGACCCTGAATTGCGACGTCGCTCGATGGCCTACATTCTCGGTGCTGCCACTTCGGCACCCCTTTTGTCCATACCTGTAGTTGAAAGTACCTTGACAAAGACACTGGCAACTTGGCAAGCTGACCAGCACTACATGCAATCCAGGTTGCCTATCGTCCCATAAAAAGATCGTAGCGCACAGTCTAGATTGTATTATAACTCAATTATTTGCATCCATCACTTTTTATGCTTTTTAACCGAAGAGACTGTTGTATACATTTTATTTCTAAAGAGTCATCAGTCCTCCATTCTCCCTGGTCTTGTTCATTTTTAAAAAAAATGAAGGGGCAAAAATGAGGGAAAAAAGTATAAGTAAAATATGTGGTCCAAATAAATTCAATCGTGAAACTAGAAAGAAACATGGGAAAAAGGAGGATTATTAGTAAACTACAACTGAATAGTAAACAATAACAGGAAGACGAGGTTGTCTCAAACTGAGATATGTATGTTTCCCTGGTATAAAAGTTAACAGAATGGATTGGAATTGGATCCAAATGCAGGTGATTCATCAAGCTCTATGATGTGGTCGAACTGGCACGCAATATAGACGCTATTAGTGACATGTCACAAAAAAGCGATATATATATCGCCTTATACGCATTAGTAGCATTGAAAGAGGTTACGCCAATATTATTGTTTGGATCCAATTTGATATAATGGAGAATCCCTATGATGACGTCGCCACTGATCTGCCATGCTGAGGAAAAACACCGCATGAACCTTTGGGCATTGCCAAATTTCCTTTGATAAAACACGAATTTCCTAGTGAACATATGAACACTTTCTTTCCAATTTTTCAGATAAATTAATTCGCAATTCCACCTAAATTTCCTAAAAAATTCAAGGTAAAACAATCCAACGTTGTAAGTCGGCAATCACTTAACTCGTTTGCGGTGTCTAAAAATCTTCACCTCCTTGTTACTTTTTTATAGGAGAACAGATTGACATCATTCCTTGAAGTTTTTGCAGAATGGGCCTGTTGCAAGATGCGGGGATTTGCAAATTGATGCGTGATTCTTATGGCAAATTTCATGAAAAGAACGATGGCGCTACTAAAAAAACTTGAAATGACCTCTTAAACTCAAAAAAAGCTGTTTTTGGAACGGACCCATTCGAGACGGTCGTTTTTCAACCGCCATACTTGTGATTGATGGAGCCTAGCTTGTGACAAGAAATGATATGACAGACCTGGTTTCTCCATCACCTACAATGTATTTTCCCGTAAGGAAATGGCAGCCGCTTTTCAAATGCAAATATCGAGTCAATCGATAATTTTTTGATCAAAATGGAAATCAGAAATGGATTCCTCGTACGTTCAAATGGTTAAAACCGTCATTAGATAAATAAGAACCGACAGGATAAACCCTATTTTTAAGGAAGACTGTAGTCAATGGGCGATTGTTAACATCTGCTTAGTGATAACAGACATGGATATTAGCTAAATATTTAGCCATTTTCATGAGTTTTTACTTATTTGTCACTATTTGAAGGTAAGTTCATTTTGTAAATCAATTTTTTAGTGCCTTAGGATCATGTTAAAAGCTGTAAAGGTATACTTTGTTACTTATTAATCCAGAACACACTCCGGCAGTCCAACAATCAAACCATGGATGTTCTCTCAATGCGTGTAAATCATTCTTAAGTCTTCAACAAACATCTCAATATCATTCAGAACGTTCCCACGTTTTATAAACTTCTGTTATTTTAAAATCCTGTGTGTTTTAAATGTAACACTATACAGAAAAGTTTATCGATAAAGTCTGGTAACCGAAGAAGGATCCTACGTCTACTTTCCTTGCCTCCAGCTAAAACATACCGGTCTCTTCGTCTCATCAGTATTGTCAAAGGTAAGTTTTTTTCATCATCAATGCTTGATACTATCATTTTGGTGTCTTCAGTGAAGCAATAAAGGGTGAAATATTAAGAAGTAACAACTGACTTGCTACATGCAGGTTTGAGCGTTGGACTGCCGTAGTGTGTTCTGAATTAATAAGTAACAAAGTATACCTTTTCAGCTTTTAACATGATCCTAAGGCACTAAAAAATTGATTTACAAAATGAACTTACCTTCAAATAGTGACAGAAAAGTAAAAACTCATGAAAATGGCCAAATATTGAGCTAATGTCCATGTCTGTTAACACTAAGCAGATGTAAACAATCGCCCATTGACTACAGTCTTCCTTAAAAATAGGGTTTATCCCGTCGGTTCTTATTTATCTAATGACGGTTTTATCCATTTGAACGTACGAGGAATCCATTTCTGATTTCCACTTTGATCAAAAAATTATCGATTGACTCGATATGTACATTTGAAAAGCGGCTGCCATTTCCTTACGAGAGAATACACTGTAGGTGATGAAGAAACCAGGTCTGTCATATCATTTCACGTCACAAGAATGGCGGACCCGAAACGACCGTTTTGAAAATCCAAATTCTGAGGCATTTTTAAGTTGATTTTTTGGGGGTTTCCGGTGATCAAAAAACTCCAGGAAAATTCCTGTGACATCAGGAGCCTTAGTTCTTTCGATTAAAGCAATAAAAAAAATTGGTGCAACAGGCCCATTAACTTCGCACAGAGAAGAAAAATCACAGCAGTTTTAGAGAAGAGTCATTGAGTAGTTTTCTGTTTAAAAAAGAAAGTATGACAGGAAGTCTGCGACGTCGCAAACCGAGTTAAGTGATTGCCGACTTACACCGTTGAATCATAACTTGCCTCAAAATTTAAGTAACATTTAATGGAAGGAAATTTGGCAACTCTCAAATGTTCTAAGAGCGTTTTTACATAGCATGGCAGTAATAGTGTCTATATCGCATGAATTGGGTCGAAAATCTTAGCTCAAATAGGACAGAAGCACCTGCATGTGAGCGTAAAGAATAATTTTAGACCAAAAAATTGACCAAATTCAGAGAAATGAAAGCAGAATCCTAGTAGGAAAATAACCTTGCTTCATACTGTTGACAATTCCTATGTCAAATGCAAGGTTCTTTTCCATAAAGAATTCTGCATTAATTTCTCGGAATTAACCAATCCTATGGTTTTCAATGATATTTTAGGCTCATGTGCAGGGATTCTCATCCTTCTTGGCGCTAAAAATTCAAAAGCTGCCGAGAGTTTGAACGTAACCCGTGCGCTATAGGTATTGCATGCTGGCTTAACGACATCAGACGCTTGACTAACCTCTGAACTTAAAAGAAATTTATAAAGGGTATTGGGAACTAAAGACAGAAAATGAACTTACATATATATTAGCTTTTAGGGCTAAATTAATTTTTATCAGATTTTGTCTGGTGTCTACAGCAACTGGTTGGAGCCCGTCCATTCCGGGACAGCTGTAGAGCCGCAATGTACTGGACTGGAACTACCTTACCCAGAGACAAGAGACCCTCCACTCATGCACTCATCCCTCCACTAGCCTCCTAGCGACAGGTGGAAGCTTTTACTTTCGGGGTTTCAACAATTCCTTATGGACAATTATTAGGGAGCAACAGTCATCACCCTAGTTTCGGCTGTTGACTTACCTAAGTCGTATTTTGTTCGAAACAACAAAATGTTTCCGTTTTTTTCTTGTTTCTTTTTACGCGATTCTGAACAACCAATGAGAGAGCAACTTCCAATTTTAGGTTAGAAATCAGCGTTGCTTTCTTGAACAACATAAAAGCGACCTGCTCTGAGCACGTTGCAGTTGTTGTGCAACAATGTTGCTGTAGGGGTTCCCAAATTTTGCGCACGAAAATAAGCCCCGCCCCCACAACACAAAACAACTTCGCACAAAATGCGATTGTTGCTCGTTTTTACAACATGTTGCGAGTGTTGCCTCCGAACAAAATACGACT